AGTCGAGCGTTCGGGTAGTCAGTGATGATCAGGTCGTCGACCGCCCGGCCGTTCAGTCGCCAGAGATAGTCCTTAAACTCGTCGGAAGTGCCGTTAAATTCATTGCATTTTACTGTTGTTTTATATATAAAATCTTTGGCAACCTTTTAAACAATTAGTTATTTAAGTATTTTTAATAATTAACATTATGTTTGCTGTTGTATATCATACCCAGCCATCAGTACAGGTGCAGCCGGGTATGGCATCCCTGGGCGTATAGCACCGGAAATCTGCCGATTGGCCAATATGTGCCAATTGTAATATAGTTAATAATAATAATGCAATTACTTGTTTGACAGCCATATTATTATTTAACAAAAGCATTAATATAAAAAGGTTTTACATATTATTTTCTGTGCTTTTATATAATACTAAATGAAATCATAATTTATTTAAAGATAAATCAAATCACTAGTGTTGGGTAAAATGAGAAATTTCCAAAAATTACGAGAAATTTCTAACAAATTTCTCAAGAAATTTCTCCGTCTATGGGAACCCCATTATATTCTATGTAATCGTTCTTGACGTTATGTATGACCGTACCCCCTATTTGGTCCTATTTTATAGTATGTATTATTTATAGTTAGTTTGTAATTGTTAAACAAGTATTTATACTTAAATTGTGAGATATATTTTTTAATTTGTGGTTTATATAATAGATATAGTTTAATAAATATAAAAATTATACACAATTACAAAAGTTTAACTATGAATAAATTATTTATTTGCTATAATAGACTACTGTTAAAAATTTATACAAAATGATTCATTAAATAATAGTTTAATAAACAATTATATCATTTAATTAATAACAAATTAATTGTTTAAATATAAAGCGTAAGTTAATAATAATTTTTTAAATAATAGTTAATTGATTTTATGTTTAAAATAGTATTTTGTTGGCATTTCAAGCTTTCAATGCACAACTTCTATGGGAACCCCACAGTAAACTATGGACTTTTTAAATACACATGTGTTTTATGATGATGTTAAACATGTTGATTTCACAATTAATTAAGACGTATCAATGTTTATTTAAATGAAACTACTCTTATGGTTATGTTAAACATCCTAGACACTCTATTTTACTTCTAATTATGACTTTATTTTATTTAAGAAATCGCATAATTTGGTATCCTATGGGAACCCCACGTAATCCAATGTGTCTTATTACAGTACACACGAATATACAAAGGCCTCACATAAATTACATGAGTTAATTATTACGTTATTTTATGGGTCTTTCTATGGTATTCGAGCACATTTTATGTATTTTTGTGTGTTTTATCATTTCAGTGCATGCATTAGTAGTTAATAAACACACATTTAATTGAACATATTTTGTTTTTAAGTATATTAACTTAATTATTCAATGTTTTGATTAAATTTCTCGGAGAAATTTGTTCA